TTTCAAAATATTAAGGGGGTATGAGTGTTTTCATTACATGGATACACTGTATAATGCTTAAGTTAGGACTTTTGGTGTGCTCATCACCAGAAGAGTATTCATTGTACCCAATAGGTAACTTTTTACCCCTAACCCTCCCCCCACCTCAATCCCCTGGACCCTCTCCACTTCTTGGTTTCCAATGTCCTTTATATCTCAAGAGCTTCTTTAAAAAAAATAATAAAATAAAAACTATGACTTTAGGAAATTCTTCTGGATTTTTTTTGTTTTGTTTTGTTGGTAGGGTTAATGCAGGTTGTATAAAATGGTGCTATAAAACTTTTCACAGATTTATTGTGTCCATAATATGCATGTTGTGGCAGTCAAGGTGGGTAAGAAATGCACCGAAGAAGAATAGCCAAGGTTTTGAAGTGGAGAGTTGGAGTGGCTTACACAATCATAAAGCATTTTAACTGCCTTTATGGTGCAGTTGAAAAACATGAAATTTGTGAATATATCAGGACAAAACACTAGATGTCAGTGTTGTAGTTTTGATACTTTACCAGGAGCTGGTAAAGATTTTTCTGCTTTTAATTACCTAGATATTTTTCATTGACACAAACTTTTAAACCATCTTGCCTCATTACATTTAGATAAATGCTTACTAGAGGAAGCACTTGTCTCAAGATTGTTTATTTTGTTATTAGCATCTGTGTAGTGCTAATGACTCAGGAATAAAATATATAATATTAATACAGTATATTTATTTTTCAGCTAACTACATTCTCCAAGCTTCATTTCTCAGTGTACTTTCCGGGAAACACTGGTCCTCGATATGCTTTTTGGGGGGACATTTTTTAAAATATTATGGATAATGTGATGATAAAGTTCTTATATATCACCTATATTTGTATGTCAAAGCCTAGAGTCATGAGTGTCTTCTGACTTCTTAAATTGACCCAGCATACAGGATATAGAAAAAGCTTCAAATTATAAATATGTTTTTATTTTTAAGAATTCTTTCTCTTTATTAAAAAATATGCAGCGCCATTAGGGTGATAGAATTATAAATGATTTGTTGCTTTTATCATTTCCTTTAATATTTTTTCATACCACTGACACATTATATTTTATGATCATGCTTTTTAAAAAGCATGATCATACATTTTCTATAATAATCTTTGAGATTCAACTAGTTCTGGAGTGAACCAAAAAAGGCACATTTGTTACCCGAAGACATTACTGCTAAGTGGCAGCCGTTTGTGTATCACTGAGTTTTCCTTTTGTTTGTTAACTTCTTTTCGGCCTTCCTTGTTAACTCTTCTGCTTATTAAAAAAATTCCAAGTTACTAAGCTGTTGGAAGATTTTCTCCTTTAAAGTATTTTCTAATAAGTTACACAGATTTCCGAAGAACAGAAGCTCTCCAGAGGGCTCTGGATCCTATAGATGCGCACAGCTGTGCTGGCTGCTGGTGCGCTCATTGTTAAAGCAAAATTAACTTCTGAAGTTAAGAAAGGAAGCAAAGCTTAAAGAGCTGCTCAGCAAGTTGACTTTTGAGCAAAGGCACCATTGGGACTGTTGTTTCTGCTAGTCCTCTGACCCCAGCCATTTGCATTTACATGGTGAACTAGTTTCTCGGTAACCTGTATATGCTTTTATTGGTGGTTCTGCATGTTAAAATTCAACAGTTCACTTACAAATTTGCATCTTCAACTCAGAACTTGATATTTTCATTGAATTACCCAGCAGTACAATTGAATCTTGGGTATCTTGGGCACATCATTAGATAATTGTTTTTCCAAAAGTGTTAAAATGACTAGTTTTATAATCTTATGTGCAAATTCTTTCAAATTAGGCTGGTGTTTAGTTTTTTTCCTGAATTTTAAATATCTGGGCCAAATCCCTTAGAAGTGTTATTCTGATAATACTGGACTGTTTTCTTAATAGAATAAAGTTTTTCATTATTTGTTTATAGCATTCTTCAGTAGTCTCTTCAAGTAGTTTAATGACACAATTATGGTCCATGTTCTTGAATATACCCTGCAGTGAACCTTTGTCAGCATTTGTCACCACTTTGACAACAGGGATGTGGTAGAGGCTGTTGGATTTGTTTCTGTGGCCTAGGTCCTGGGTCTTGAAGCTGCTGTGACTTCCCCTGTTGACATGGGCGGGCCAGGTCTAGGGGCTGATGGCAATGGGGTGGATGGGCTCCACCATTACTGCAGCTGTGGGACTTGGAAAAATCCCCCTTTACAAGAATGGGGACAGGTAGAGCTTCGTGAATGGTCCCTGGGGTCTGGCTGTAGTCTTGGCAACCTCTGCATAGGGTATTAAAGTTTAATTTGTTTTTACTCTTAGGTTCTATAGGAAGCTGTGAATTGGAAAAGGATCATTTTTCTTCTGATGATGAAGCAATAGAAGCTGACAACGAAGATGATGTTGAACCCTATAATGAAAATGAAAATACTGCAGAATCCAATGTTGAGACTAATATGGGCTGGGCAAATGCCATGGCTAAAATCCTTAACAAAAAAATTCCTGTAGGTAGACGCGCCATTCTGATCAAAAACAAAGCGCTGGAAAAGGAAAAATTAAAGTTAAAGGAAGAAAGACTAGAGAAGAGAAAACAGGTGTGTCCTACTAGTTGTCTTATAGATTAGATTGTCTAGTTTAGTTCTTATCTTTACTAAATTGTTCTTGCAGTTTGTCCAATTAACACTCCAGTTTTTAAACTGCTTTTTATGTGTGGGTGGTTAACCAAGGTTATGTTCAGAAACTTAGTCGAAGTTACTCCACTGATCATGATCCCTTCTTAATTATCTAAGCAAAATAAGGCTAATCCTTATAGTGAGAGCAGGAGTTTGGTTTTATAGTGATTAGACATGTCGTTAATACAAAATGAGAGATGAGTGGAGAAATGGAAGAGATAAAAGGTGACTTTTTTCCCACTGGTCTTTATTACTGGTTTTGATGTTTTGATGCTATGCTGGCTGCTTGGTGATTAGTTCATCATATTCTTATATTTGATATTTGGTTAAATGTTGGCCTGAGAAGGAGATCTGAACAAGCAATGTATTAATATCAAATCAGATTTCTGGGGCCAATATGCTACTCAAACACAATTTTAAACTAAATTATGTCGTCTGTGGGATTTTCTTATTTCCCAGCTCCGCTTCTAGCTTCTGCACAGTAGCAGAGAATGAGTTTGCTGTAGTTTGTGACTGATACGCCACATATGGCAAGAATATTGGTCAGGTGTGCCACGAGAGGAGAAATGGATTTAAATGATTTTGTGCAAAGAGAAATAGTCATTGTATAAATATCTGGATGTCATGCTGTTCTTTTAAAAGCTTTTAGAATTTCTTAATAATTCTGACTGCTAAAGGAGTCAGTTTCTGAGAATACATAGTTTTTAACCTTATGATTAGCAGAGAGGGTAGTTTGGAGTCTTCCTTATGCCTTCCTCTGATGATCAGGCATGTGGCTCTCTCACACCCTACCTTGTACTGCCTGGCTGAATATGCTGGCAGTTCTCCAGGCCCCTGCTGTCAGAGAGCTTGACAGAAACTCACTTTGTGCCTCTCACATGACACATGGAGTTCTAACCACAGGCTCCCTGAGCTGAACCCCTAAAATTGTGGGTTTCTTTAAAGTCCCTATGACAAACTAAGCCAGAATGATTTATTACCTTTGTCCTTTCACAGAGTATCATATCAATGTTTGCTGCACTTTCAAAAATATCTAATATTCTTTCACATAACAATATTTATAACACAGCGTGATAAGAGGCTGGAGTGGGAAATGATGCGCAGAGTAAAGCCAGATGTTGTCAAAGACAAAGAAACTGAGAGAAATCTTCAGAGAATTGCAACAAGGTAAGGCAGTGTTTTTGCCCTTTAAAAAATAAGTATACTAAAGCTTTGATAGTGATCTATTTCTGACCAGATTTGAGTCTTAAGCTTAGTGATCTCAGAGCCAAGTGATATATATCTAGGCCTGCCTTATTCAACACTGAATTTAACCAAAGATTTTGCAGGTCTCATGAGGCAAGAATATAATGTACTAAGTGTATATTTGGTATGAACTTATTTCGGATCATTTTGTTTTTATAGTCATACGAACTGTGTAATCAGACCTTTTGCTGCATTTCTCTTATGATGGTTGTCTAAATTTATGGCACTTGATGATGATTTTTGTTATCTTGCATTATATTTATGGCATTACACATTGTAGAGCTTCATGCTGTCCTTTCACTCTATTTTTTTTTTTTTAATTGTCAGCACCAAACATTTATTTGATGCCTTCCGTGTCCCAAGATAAATAGGATATGGTGGCTGTTGGGTGATCCTTGCCCACCTATTTGTAGGAATTAAATAGTAATATGTCCTGTGTGTTGGGAACATACAACAGGAGATTGTCTGGGTGAGTTGGGGAAGGCAGTACAGAGGAGATAATAGTTGGGCTGCTACTTAAAGAATGCAGCAATTATATTTAATGGAATTACTTTTAAATTCTTAGTTACCTAAGTTATTTTGGTCATTTTCTAATCCATCTAGGTATTATACAGTGATATAGTGTGGTATGGTGATTAAGGACATGTGTGATAGAGACAGACTGCTAGGTTCAAATTTGAGCACTGACTTACTAGCTTGTGTGTCCTTGGTCATGCTACTTAATTATTTCTGTCTCAGTTTATCTGTAAAAAGAGGATAATATTATGCCTAGCCTATAGGGTTTCTCTGAGAATGAAATGCATTAATACATATTAAGTAATTAGAAAAGTGCAGGATAAGCCCATGAGAGTGAGTGAGCGACTCCTTAAATTTTGTACCCTGGGCACCTCACTTGCCTCGTCCTGGCACTGCTGTGAGGGGTCTG